ACCTTAAGGATCATGGAACCATGGAATAGTTGGGTTGGAACGATCCTCAAAGATTACAGAACCGTGAAATCACAGCATGGTTGGGTTGAAAGGGACCCCAAAGCACCCCCATCCCACCCCTGCCATGGGGTCCCACCCCAGGCACGGGGCACCCACAGCTCTGCGTAATGCCATGGCCTCACCACCCCTCGGGTAAAGAATTTCCCCCCTCATATCTGACCTAAATCTCCCCTCTTTTAGTTTTAAACCATTCCCCCTAGCCTTAACGCTATCTGCCCACATAAAAAGTCCTCCTCCTCCTCCCATTCGCGAGCTCCCTCTAAGCACTGGAAGGCTGCAAAGAGGTCTCAGTTGCACGAGGAGGAGAGTCACGTGGCATTAAGATGCAATACAAAAGAACTATTTTTAGTTTGCATATAGAAACACTGGGGAAAAAAAAAAAAAAAAGACGCACGTTCGCCCGACTCGTGGTTAACACAGCATCCAACAGGGACGGAGCTCGGAACAAAAGCCACTGTGCAACCCAAACAAGCAGCGATTGTCCCTCCTGGCAACCCCCACCTCGAGGTGGCAAGGAGCAAAGTGGCCTTGGGGAGCAAGGAGTGGCTTTGGGAGCACGCAGTGCCATGCTGCACGACACAGCCATAGCCAGGGTTGCTGTACCCGTGCCAGCGCTGTCATTTGTCGCTGTTTATTTGCCAGGCAGCTGAGAAACCCGAGCGCTGTCGAAATGCCGGAGTCAATGATTTGCCAGCTCGCTCCCGCCACTCCGAACGCTTTGAGAACGGGCTGTTGAGAAATAGGAAGTCTGCTGGAGCATTCAAGCCTTTTCTTCACCAGCAAAGTTTCTTTAATTAATGACTCATCCCCACAAACACTTCCCAACAAGCTGCATCAACAGCTCGGGTGAAATCAGAGAAAATCCCCTAACCCTGCCACCACCGCCGACGACAACGAATTTCTGGGCAATTACTCAGGGCGTGGGGAGGCTCCGTGGGCAGAGCCGCCCCGGTACAGCCGTGTGAGTCACGGGGCGGAGGGGAAAATGCTGTAACATTGGCTTCCAGACAGATATTTTCAGCCACCAGCTCACACACAGCCCCCACATCCCCCCTCCCCCGCCGGAACAAGAGCAGAGGGGAAGCCCATGCACGCAGGGATGCTGCTCACATGGAACGTGGCTGGGGACAGAAGGCACAGGGCCAACCCTGCAGGTGCCCATAGATCACAAAACAGTGCTCCTAAACCCATATCAGAGCCTTAAGGTTGGAAAAGACCTCTCAGATCCCCAATCCATCCCACCATGCCCACTGACCACATCCCGCAGTGCCACATCTCTGTGGCCCATCAACACCTCCAGGCATGGTGAACCCACCGTGCCCTGGGCAGCTGTGCCAGAGCATCACTGCTCTTTGCACAAGAAATTATTCTTAAAATTGGATATTAGGAACCCTGACCCTCCCCTGGCAGACGTTGGACACCACAAGGTTTCAATAAGGCTTGCCATCTACATAGAACAGTTGGGTTGGAAGAGACCTTAGGAATCACAGAGCTCCAAGCCCAGCCACGTGCAGGGCATCCGACCACTACATCACGAGGTTCATCTCCACAGTTGTGTTTTGTTGTAAGGCTGACACTCAGAATCACCAAACTGTATGGGTTGGGAGGACGGCTGGGGATCACACAGCCCAGATCACACAACCCCCCACAGCAGGCTGCAGCCACATGCATTATCATGGCACATTCCTCCGGTGACGCTGCATGTCCCACCAGATGGATAAAACAGGGGGAAAAACCCGTGAAAAAGAAAACAAACAAAAAAGAACAGAAAAACAAAGCACGGATCCTACGTGCCCTTCCACCTGTACAAACAGCACAGCCTTATCACAGTGTTCTGTTCCCCCCCCCCAACAGCAAAAGCTCTGGGGGCTGAGGGTCTGACACCTCCCCCAGCTGGGACTGTCCCTTGGGGGGCAGAGAGAAGCCCTGAGGCTTCCAGGCTGGAAGATGGAGATGGAGATGGTCACACCTAACCTGAAGCACTGCCCTACAGCAGCAGGTTGGCCCAGCAGGTTTGCAGGTACCTTTTGGGGAATTCTATTCCATGCAGGGAAGAGAACAGCCAGCTAAAGGTCTGCCTGGAAGGTGCGAGGCTCTGCGCACTGCTCTGCACGGAGGGGTTCAAGCACACAGTGCCAGATCAGATTGTGGAGCTGAGCTGGGTTTTCCAGCAGCACACCTTTCTTTCTCCTGCACACAACAGGTGGGACTGGTTGCACAGAGGGGTCACAGGCAGAACCCACCCAGCACAGCACATACCTCCACCTTCAAACCTGCAAAATGCTCAGCACCAAGCACAGGGGGTGAAGCAGTTTGGCACAACCCCCCGGAGTAACTTGGGTCAGAAGGACACGTGCAGCACGAGCACCAAGCCATGCATATCAACACCTGTTTGCATTACATTGCAGCACCCTGATATTGCACTCACATTGCATTTATATTGCAATGCCACCCTCAGTTTGCATCATTCAAGACCGTCCAGAATTTCACTCTCTCCAAGCAGACAACATACATCCCTTCCCCATGCCTGTATCTCTCACACCACGGTTTGTTTTTATTTTCAATCCCTCTGGTCTGTGACAGAGCTCCAGGCTGGCACGTGGGAACCAAGGGGTTAAACCACACTCACCCAGCTCACTCACCCGGCTCCAATGAAGCGGGGCAGCCGTAAAAACAGAGGTCAACATCAGAAAATATCCCGTGAGTCATGAGCAGCGATTACTCACCGCACGACTCAACTCAGCAGCACCCGGAGCTCCTGGGCGAGGAAACCGCAGCCTTTCCTCGGAGAGGAGCAGGGAAGGAGTCACGCTGTCAGTTCGTGTCCGTAAGGGGGTGGTGGGAGGACTGCTGCTCTCCTCCCACGGCCCCAGCGTGACGTGGAGGGGAAGAAAGAGGGGGTTTGCAGAGCTCCCCACGCTGCTGAGGGATCCCATTGATGCTGGTTGGTAGGAATGGAGGGGATCTGTTCGTCCTAGAGATAAGCAGCACTGCCGTTGCTGCTTGTTTTGGAGCAGTTTGGGGCTGCAGTGGGAACGCAAGTACTGTGCTCAGCCCAGCACGGACTGCATGCCTTCCCCTCTATCTTTGAGAGCCCCAAAGCAGACAGCAGCCAAACCCAACCGGGGAGCTGTGCCATCCCCTTCCCCTGTATCCCACCTCCCCTCCTGTGGGTTTAGAGATGCTCTGTTTGTGTCAAAAAGGAGCACAGCAGTGCCTGCAGCCGCTGCCAGCAGGGCTGAGCCAACACGGGGCCGCAGCTCAGCACCGTGTCAGCACACCGAGCACAAAGCACACAATTTATTGCCAAAGCTCCAGAGTTCATCCACCACTGCAACGGCTGCGGCTGTGTGTTTGTGTGTGTCTGTTCACAGACCCAACTGCAGGAAAGAACGGATCAGCTCTGGATGAACCATTGCTGGTGCCAGTGTTACCAGGAAGGCAGCTGCAGCGCCTGGAGAGGTCAGAGCTGGACAGTCAGGTTCTGCAGCACTGCTGTGCAAGGACATCAACCTGGCAGCAACTGGGGGGGAGGGAGAGAGGGGACAACCCCACCAACCTCAGAGTACAAGTTTTCTCCTAGATGAACCGAAAAATCATCACTCCCTATGCCAGAAAAGCCTTATCTGAAACACCCTCATTTCCCAAGCACTCCCCACGCTGCAAACAGCACGATAGCACACATGGGGAGGGGGGAGAGGGGGGTTACACAGCACAGGGCTCGTTTTGCCACAGCTGTCAGAAGCTCAGCACAGCAGCCCCTCGGTGCCGTGCAGCGGCTCTGAGCTGTGCTCCTGCAGGCGGGTTCACGTTTGGCAGCGCTGGGAGCACGGAACGGTCGCGGCGGTAACTTTCAGTTTCTGAGGATTTGAGCGCAGCGCGCGCAGACGAATGACGGAGCTGCGGCTGCACGGCGCCGTGCCGAAGTCCATTGCAGAGGGAAGGCGGGAGGCAGAACTGCAAAGGGCAGATAGGAGCTGCAGCTCCGGAGCGATGCGTTCCTATCGCGGCACGCAGCTGTGCCCGGCACGTCCCCGAACGGCAGCACACGGCTTGGGGATGATATGAGCGGGTGCGCGTGGGTTGGCACGCACGTGTTGCACGCACAGAGCTGCTGCTGCGCTGTGATGGGATGTGGGGGGGGTGAAGGAACAGCTCCGGGATGGGATCGGGGGGGTTACTGCGTGGAGCTGGGATCACCAAGGGTGGGAAATGGGGACCAAGGACACCGCTGGGATGTGACACCGACATGGGGATCCCCAAAGATGGGACTGAGGGCACCGCTCAGGGCTGGCATATGGGGATCCCCAGGGCACTGCACAGGGCTGGGAGGTGGGGAACCCCAGGGTTAGGACACGGGGACCAAGGACACCGCTTGGGGCTGGGACGTGGCACCCTCAGGGCAGGGACATGGGGACCAAGGACACCGCTTGGGGCTGGGACGTGGGGACCGAGGGCACTGCTCGGGGCTGGGACACGGCACGCACAAGGGTGGGACACGGGGACCAAGGACACCGCTTGGGACTAGGGCACGGCACCCGCAACAGTGGGACACGGGGACCGAGGGCACCGCTCAGTGCTGGGACACGGGGACCGAAGTCACACCGCTCTCAGGTCAGGGACACGGGGACCCTCAGGGCGCCGACACGAGGACCGAGGGCAGCGCTCGGGGTTTGGAACGCGGGGACCGAGGGGAGCACAGCTCACAGGGCCGAGCCGCGGCAACGAGAGCAGCGCTCGGGGCCGGGATACGGGGACCCTCAGGGCAGCGACGCGGGAAGCGAAGGCAGCGCTCGGACACGGAGCCGGCAGCGCTCGGGCGGCGGAGGCACAAACAAGTGACACGGGAACAGCGCGCCGCGCCGACGGCGGACCGACGGCCGAACCCGAAGGGCCGCGCCGCACCGCACCGCACGTCCCCCCCCCCACCCCGTACTCACGTAGACGGGCAGCGGCCACGGGTACACGGCGGGCTCGGCTCCCACCGGCGACTTGAGGCGCAGCTCCAGCCGCTCGCCCATGGCGCAGCCGGAGGCCCCGCACCATGCTACGGGGCGGCCGCGCGCTGCGGGGTGGGGCCGGGCCCGGGGCCGGGCGGCGCGGCGCGGTGCGGTGAGGCGGTGCGGGGCCGCAGGAAGGCGGGGAGGACCCGCGCTCCCACCCCCCCGCGCCGCCCTCTATTGTCGGGAGCGGCTCGCGGGGCTCTCCGGCGCCGCCGCCATCTTGGGCCGCCGGCGTGAGGAGCACAATGAGCGCCGGGGCCGGGCCGGGGGCGGGGGCGGGGGGAGGGGCGGGGGGCGGCACTGCCGCTGTCCTCAGCTGCACTCCCCCGCGCGGGAACGCGCCTCGCCCCGCCCGGAGCGCGCGCACGTGTGTCAGGGAGGAGGGGGGGGCGGCGGCGCGGGGTGACATTGCGGGAGCGGCGCTGGCGCGGGGTGACACCGCGTGGTGGCACGTGGAGGACGGAACGAGGCTGGCACGGGGTGACACCGCGTGGCCGTGAGGGTGGCACTGCGGGAGACCGCCGGGCTGCGGGCAGCAGAGGTGGCACGAAGCGGAGCCGGCGTGACAACGCTGAGCTGGCACGCTGTGACGCCGCGGGGCCGCGGTGGCGCGGGGTGACATTGCGGGGCCGTGGTGGCACGTGGAGCATGGAACGAGGCTGGCACGGGCTGGCACTGCGGGGCCGTGGTGGCACGTGGGTGACATTGCGGGCCGGCGGCAGAAGCTGTGTGACGAGCTGTGGTGGCACACGGGGGCAGGGCAGATGTGGCACCTGCGGAGGCAGACGCGGCACGGGCTCTGTGCGGCACAGCAACCCTCGTTGGGTCGTTAGGGCGCTTCTTAATTAGCCAGCAGCCAAAGTCCTCGCGTGGGCTGAGCAGGCACGTTGCGCGGGCGGCACACCAGGGACGCGTTGTGCAAGGAATGCACGAGGGACGTGTTGCACGAGCAGCAAAAGTGCTGTGGGTCAGGTTCCATGGGTCAGGAGCTGCGGGACCACGAGAAGGAACGGAATATTTAAGCCCCGCACCAGCAGAGGTCCCTTCGCCCCAGTGAACCGGTGCTACTGGGGACGTTAGGCTGCCAGTACGGGTCCGTGCTGGAGGCTATGGGGCGGGCGATGAAATAAACACTTCTTCGTTCCTACGGCTGAACGGGCCCGAAGAGGTTCCGTTAATTATTTCGGGGGTCGGACACGGAGACGCGAAGGGATAACGCCGCCATCTCGGGGGCGGCCGCGGGGGGGGAGCGGGGCCGAGATGGCGGCAGTGGGGGCGGCCCCGGGGAGGTGGGACGAGGGGGAGCGGCTTTGAGCCGAAAGAGGGGACGTGGAGGGGGGAGGGGGTCCTTCGCTCAGAGGGCACAGAGCGGAGCTGCGGGTGCCGCCCCGCGGGAGGCGCGCGATGCCACGCGTGGGCCGAGCGGGGGGAGGCGGGGAGAGCGAGCCAGCGCGCTGCGCTGCCACGTGGGACTGCCGGTGGGCGGGGCTACGGAGTGGGTGGAGCCACTAGGTGGGCGGGGTCAGCGAAAAGCGGCGAGACGGCAGTCGGCGGAGGGCGCGCGGGAAGCCGCGTGGGCGTGGCCTAAAGCCACTGGGCGGTCCGATAACCGGAAGGGGCGTGGCCACCGCGCGGGGCGTGTCCGAGCCCTCAGCTGACCGGCCGCCATTTTGTCAGCTCCCGGAGGCTGAGCGCAGCCCGCTGCCGGAACCGGGGCCGCCCCCCGCCCCGCGCCGCGCCCCTCAGCTCCCCACCTCCCGCCCGGGATGTGAGCGGCCCGGCCCGCTGCTCTCACCCGGCTGTAGCGCTACTAGGAGCCGCGGCGGCTCATCCCGCTGGGCACGGCCCCTCCGCGCCCGGCTCAGGCCCTCGGCCCGGCCCCGCCGCCATGGCGCTGAAGATGGTGAAGGGCAGCATCGACCGCATGTTCGATAAGAACCTGCAGGACCTGGTGCGGGGGATCCGCAACCACAAGGAGGACGAGGTGAGTGACCGCCGTGCGGGGGGTGGGGGAGGCGGGGAAGGGGCGGCCGCGCCCGGTTCCGTTGTGCCGCTCGGCCCGTGGTTCCACGGCGCGCTGTGCTGGGCGGGGAGGCCGCGCTCGGCCCAACTCGGCGCTGGTGGAACTCGAAGTACGGAGTGCTTTGGGTCGGCGCTCACAGCTCGGGCTGCACGGCCTTTATTCACGTGTGGGGCATCGCCAGGCGTGGGGTCCCACAGCGCTGCAGTGCTGCTGCTCTCTGGCTGCAGGACTTCCTCTCACATCTGGTTTAAATCTCCTCTCTTTTACTGCAGAGCCGCTCCTCTCTTGTCCTAACGCTGTCTGCCCGCGTTAAAAGTTCCTCTTCTGCTTGAGAGCTCCTTTCACTACTGGAAGGCTGCTTCTCCATCCCTCTGAGCATCACACATAAAAATGTGCCTTCTTCATCTCAAGGTAGAAAGCAAACGGGCACGCTGGCTGTTATTCTCTGCTCTGTTAGAGGCACGTGCTCAGCAAATTAGTATAGGTTAGATAATTACTCATTAGGAACACGCTGCGTGAGACTTTCTACATTGACTTTGTTGTGTCATAGGTTAAGTGCTAGCCTTGCTGCCTGTTGCTTCCCAATTATGTTAATTATCAGGTAAATGGTCACACACTTGTGTGTTGCAGCATCTCTTTGCCTGCTGAACTGAGGTGCAGACACCACTTCCGAAACCACTTGATCTTTCTGATGGCTTTTAAGCAGATCACTGTGCACAGGATGAGGCGTTTGCTAGCAGTGATACCTCCAGACCCATTCTGGCTGCTAAGGACTGCGTGGTTCCCTTCAAACTACAGCAGGCTGGAGGGGCCTAGAAACAGATTGTTATGGGGTACTTAATGTGTTGTTATACTTGAAGCTGGAACAGGTAAAGAGGCCAATAGGCACCTGCTGCCTCACACTGAAAGCCAGTGTGTCACCCCCTGTGTAAGCAAGAGGCCGATGTCAGTGACAGGTTTGCATGGTAACGTGGAGCAGTTCATACAGCGCTGGCTCTTTTGCTTCAGTGGCCACAGAAGTGACTCTGGAAGCACAGGGCTGTTCCTTCCTGCAGCTCTGGCAGCTCAGCCTTCCATTACTGAGAAGCTTTGGTGCTTTCCAGGGAGTGGTCGTGGGCATCTTCTAATCCTCACAGGATGCTACAAGATCAGAATGACATTTTAGAGGAAGTAGCTGCCAAAAGTCTTCCTACAATGCTCCTGTTGTTCACTGCCTAGTAAGTGTTGCTCAAATATTGAATGGAGTTGTTCAACTGACTTGCGTGTGTCATGAGGTGAGGATCTGAGCCTGAGGCATGCTTTGTCCCATCCAGAAGACTAAACTTGTTTAAAACAAACAGCGTGTTTTGGTGGCAGGGCTCTTAGCTGCTGGATCTCAGCTCAACAAGAAAGAAAAGTCTCCAGAAGAGAGGTTTAGTAGTAAAATTAAAATGATGCTGGAAGAACCAAAGACGCTTTGGTTTATTGTTCTGTTTGAGTGATGCTTTTTGTTCTTAAACGTGACAGCTTCCCATCCCTCTGCAGGTACCATTGCAAGCTTTGCTATTGTGCTGATGTGCAGAGTGGCTGTTGTTCAGGGTCAGATGTGGTTCTGTATGAGCAGTGGAACTTCCCAGCAGGTTTGCTGCATTCCAGCTTGATGCTCATTTGTTCCCACAGTTCTGGGGCTTGGGGGTGCACCTGAGCCCAGCTGTGAGGCTGAAGGAGCACTGCCAGCTTTTTGGCAATGCTTGAAATGTTTTCCTCAGTTCTGCAGAGGAGCTGGGGGTGATGAGCCCTTCAGCTCAGCTTTTTGCTGCAGAGTGCTTAATTACCTGTCAGAGACCATTTTAATTTTAGTTTCTGAGGTGTATCCAAAGCTGACCCATTTATTTAGTGGTTCAAATGTTGGAATGGAAGTGTTGGTGCTCTGTGGGAGTGGGACACCCCGAATTAATGCAGCCACTGCTCAGTGCTGGTGTTCCCATCTCAAGGAGGCATGGAGCTGACCATGCTCCTGTGCAGCAAACACTAGCATGGATGGCATGTCATAGCATTGCTGCATAGGCCTCCTGGTTTAACACATCCTACTTACTTCTCAGCGCTGCGTACGGATTCTTTAATTCCTGCATTGTTTCCTGGTGCAAGCTGAAAATCTGAGGAAAAGCCAAATCTGCAAGGTACCCTGCTCTGTGCTCTCTGGGCCTTCCTCTGCTATCTTTCTCTTTTGTTTGGAAATGGAATCCTTTTGGCTGTGGAAGCAGTGAGTCTTTATTGATGCTGGTGTGGTTTTGTGCCATGAGGGGCAAACAGGGGGTGTGCTGAGCATTCCAGGTGTGTGCTGAGCTGCTCAGAGTGCCTGGCACAGCAGGCTGGTGGGACCCTCACTTCTCAGTAGCTGCTGCCTGAGGACAGGGGGCTCGTGTTGCTGCAGAGCCTGCCTTGCTAAGCACAGGGATGCTGCCCTTGGCTGCACGGGTCCTGGCACTTCTCCGCTGCGTTTTCAGATTCAATCAGGTAGGAGAAGCTGTAAGGGATCTTCTACAGTCTTCTGTTCACAGCTGCTGAAGCTGAGCAGCAGCTAGCACTGTGGCTTTCTGGCAATGTGGCTCCTGGCTGCTTTTGCAGCAGTAATTCCTAAAGGCAGAGGAGCAGGGCTGGAGCACAGCGGGCATTTTGAGGAATGCTAAGAGCACGTTGGTGCCCAGTGCTGAAAAACTCACTTGAGTGCTGGGCAGTGCAGCTTGTCAATGGCAGGCAGCACTCTCAGTCACTGCTGCTCCATCACTCACTGCTTGTCATGTGTGTGGCGGTATCTCTGAAGGGAAGCCATTATTCCATCTGCTTTGGAGAGGCTCTGGAGTTGTACTGTTCATTCTTCCAGCATGTCTGTTGCTGGGAAAAGACAAAGCAGGCGTGGGGATGGTGCACAGGAGACAGCAGGGCGGCTGCAGTGAGCAGCATGGCAGTGAGAGCTGAGCCAGTGGAGCAGGGCATGGGCTGCATCTCCTGCAGGGTTGGGGGGAGAAATGGCACTGCAGATGACTGTTCCTTTACTGTGGGTTTGATGTGGCTGTCTGTCCCAGTGCTGAGCACAGAAAACGGGTCCTTTATGAGCAGTGGCCGTGTTGGATGATGTAGCAGAAGGTGCCCAAAAACTGCTACTATGTGAGTTTGGGGGATATGCCAAAACCTTCAGGTTTTTCATTTAGAA